TCTAGTGTCTTCATCAGGGGTGATCTAAAACTGCGATCGTGGCTTCTTAAATACCCCAAGGGATGACGTCACCTGCCAAGAAGATGCATATATTCCTGTGGCAAATAGGCGCCGTCGTCCCTATCCGTATTCCCTATTTAGCCGTGTACCCTGTATCAGTCTAAACGCCAGTTTGGTACACGGCTAAAAGAACATCAAAATGCTGTTTTAACTTTAGACAAGGGAAAATCAGCTTTAGCCGAACATGTATGTTACACCAAACACGAGATAGCGTGGGAAAACTCTAAAGTAATTACCACAAACAATCGCTATTTTCAAAGACTTTGCCTAGAAGCGTGGCATATAAATATGAGTCATCATGCTTTGAATAGGGATGACGGCGCCTATTTGCCACAGGAATATATGCATCTTCTTGGCAGGTGACGTCATCCCTTGGGGTATTTAAGAAGCCACGATCGCAGTTTTAGATCACCCCTGATGAAGACACTAGACTGGAGTGTCGAAACGTTGAGTCTTGATTACAAATTCGACTGGGCTTTGTAATCATTTATTTAAACCAGAGTAGCGAGCGAAACATGATTGATATACCTGGTTGCAGTGAACGAACAAGCTTTATAAATTTACATTGTGTTTACAATATAAGGATATAAAGCGTATATATTCCATTTATTTACACAATTCATTAAATATAAAGCCTTACTAATCTCTTACTTCTATTTACGTTATTCATCAAATGTATAAAAACTACTAATGCAAACCTATTTGACATTATTATTTGATACCTATTTGATCATTTGACGTCAAGTCTTTATTCATCAGCATTCTTCTTAACAAAACGATTAACATCATCTTACATAAGGTTTGGAACGAGAACAAGATTACGACTAAACTTAAGAAACGCACACTGAAAAACTCTTATATGACGCTTAAACCAAAACTCCATTTTTTGCGAACGGAAAACTTTACCGACAAATTGACGGCGTTAATTACCATGGGTTCACCTCTAAGTCCAAATCTAGCTAATATTATAATGATATAGCTTTAGAAGATGCAATTATAAAAGACCTTCTAGATAATAATGTCATAAAGTCTTACATTAGATATATTGATGACACACTATAGTTCTAGCGAAACCGTCTGACATTGATTTTATCTTGAACAAGTTAAATAGCTACCACCCAGATATTCAATTCACACATGAAGAATTCACATCTGAAGGTACCACAATTTTTCGTAAAAACACTCACACAGGCCAGTATATACATTTTTCTGGTTTTACTCCTTGGTCTTACAAAATACAGCAGCAGAGCTCACAAAGTTTGTAGCGACAGTTCTTTACTTTCAGCAGAGATAGACATCCTCAAATTATGTCTTTGAACGGGTTTTCAAAACGCATTTATACTAAACTTATAAAGCAAATGAACCCAAACTCTGACCAAACTCATGAGACTAACCCTAACAACAATTACAACAAACAACTACCTAAGATTTTCGTATACGACTCCCATTCATAGGCAAACGTGGTACAGACTTAATACGAAACATCAGAATTGAAATGTTACGACTTTTAGACACTCCATGCAACGTAATGATTTGCTGGGACACAATGTGACAACCAACTGCTTTAAATTGTTTCGTGTAAGGACAAAACACCTAGAAGGACTTTCAGAGGTCTATTCGGTTTACAAATTCTCCTGTCCAGGCTGCTCTAGCTCTTACAATGGAAAGACCGACAGATGAATTCACTAATCACACAAGACCCTTTGAACATGCAACAACTGACAAATCTGAGATGTACAAGCACATCAACGCTTGCGAACACTTCACCTACATCACCAACCTACTGAAACTTGACATCGATGATTCTGACACAAACGAACTGTTTGACCGGACACTATTCCTTCTCCACAACTCCAACATCCTGGCAAGGCAAATAATTGGTCAGTCTTATTATTCAAGGAAGTACTCGCCATTCACAGGCAGAAACCGAAAGTGAACAATATCATCAAAGCGTCCCGAGAACTATTGGTTTTCTACCAACGTGCAGATATTAAATTACAATCTTTCTGTATATATTTATTGGCATTACTATGTAAGTTTATCCATTCCTAATGATTGCTAAATAAAGTAGAAACGTTGAATAAAAAATGTTGTCTTTTATTCGAAGTTACCGTTGTTGTGTATACCTATTTTCACATTATCTAACTAATAAAATATTAAAAAGAGACATTCTAATCAACCAATTTAGAATTATACAGGTATATAGAGTAAACCAAAGGACTATGTTAGCCTTGTTATAACCTTTGACTATTAGCTCTTGTTTCCTTTTGCCTAATGCATTCTAGTTCCTTTGGTGAGAGGCTATGAAGTTTATGATTTGGTTCCAGCATTTCTTTAATTATAAAGTTATACATAATTCGCCCCTACGTTCCTCCAAAACTGATTTGTAACTTTGTATCAGATATTGCTTGGTCGTAGTCTTGCTTTATTTGGGTAAATTATTCTAAGCACTCGTTTTTGAATTCGTTCAGTGCTCTTTTTTTGTTTTTGGGTTAGAGCTGCGTTCCAAATCTCTGCACCATATTCTAGAATAGAACGAATTCGTGAACGGTAAAATGCTAACAAATTATCCACGGGCCGGGCACTATAACTCTTTAAGATCTTTAATAAATACAGATATAATAAGTACATTCCGTATTAGTTTTCCATTTAAGATTAAAAGTATTTAAGAGGAACTACATTGCTAGCATAATTTTGCTGAGTTTTCAACTATACACATAAACGTCTTGCCACCCCCGGTTCATCCTGTTCCTGCTAAACGGATGTTAATTTACTCCAACTCTTCAACTCATAGCATTCAATTCTGTTACGAATTTATCTTATCTATGATACTTCTCGTGTAATCAATACAATACCATAAGCAAAAAATATCTTTTGACCCCTCATTTGCAAGAACGTATTTTACGTAGCGCCATTCTGTATCCTTCACGAATTGTTTTGTCTCCAATTCCACAGACGATGGGATTGAATGAGCAAGATACAAGAAAATATACCGGCATCATCCGCATCAGATGAAACTGATATTCATTACCACCGAATGCACTGTTAAGTCTTTCAAGCACACATACTGGTGCAACTGCAGTGAAGAACTGTGCTAGATCTACCATACTGACAGTTATCATTTTTGTATTTTTTTCAATGCGCAAATGTTGATGACTTCTGGGATTTGTTGTTTCTGGGGAAAATAATGTCCTGAGGTTTTTCTGATGAAGAGCCAATGAATAACACATCTTTACATAAAGCACAATAAGAAACATCATAGAGACTAGTATAATAGCAATATTTACAATCCAACCATATATAGAAAATATACGTTATCTTCCCATGTGTTGGTACATAGCCCTGCACTAGTAAACTGTTGGGAGAGAAATGTTGGGATATTGACAATTAAAGGAACCATGTAAAGCAATGCAATGATATATTGCAGCTTTTTGCCGCTTAATCTTGGTTGAACTGGCTGAGTAACAGCTCTGTGACGAAGAATTGCTATAACGACTAAAATCATCAGTTCTGTTGTAAAAAGACAGCCGACCAGCGGCAAAATTATGACGCATGATACATTTCCCAGGTTATTGAACCAATATTGATTTTCCATCCAAAGTCCTACTGTGAACAAGAGATTTCCTGTCAGTAGTAAAAATATATCGCAGATAGCAAGATGAAATACAAGACGATAGTAGTTCGCTTGAAAACGACGCTGACCACTGTAAACCGTAAAGATGACAAGAATATTACCACACAAGCCAAACATTTCAATGATTACATATCAGATTGGAACGATCAAAATGTTTGAAAAATGTATTTCAAATGTTCCGTTCATCTTAGGATTAGCTTGTTGTTGAAGCACCGACAGGCTGTTCTACTTTGTAAATGACTTCGCGTTTTTCTAATATTAATATAGCGTTTCACAAATAATATGTTCCGCAGAGATATTAAAATTGGATTCCGACAATTGATCAATATTGACTCTTCAGTGCAACTTTTAATTTTGTAAGAAGATGCAAATACAGATGGAAGCAAGATTATACTTGCCCCAATATGAGTTTATGCATGGTATCAGAGTTCCTCCGTAGCAACAACATAAACTTGGTTCGCCAAAGTTTCACGAACGAATATCCAGATGTACGATGCCCTTCACGTATTCGCATGTGAAGGGCATCGTTACATCTGGTTATTCTTTCGTGAAACTTTGGCGAACCAAGTTTATGTTGCTGCTATGGAGGAACTCTGATACCATAAAAGCTCTCTGCTGCGGGGTAAATTGTGGCATCGCCATTTCAAAGTGTACGGGGTATTATACGAGAGAATGCGTTTCAGCACAAACAACTCGAAAGCACAAATTCCATGGAAATTCCACGGAACTCTCATGGGAGTAAAAATTAATTCATAATGAAGCAAGAACAGCAGCAACAGAGAAAAATGTAATGTTTTCTTAGGCTTTTCGGAGGATTTGTACTCGGTAAAATCCTGCCGAAATTTTATCATAAATGCAACAAATAGCGAACTTTTCATACATGAACTCAAATAAAGAATATCGTTTGTCATTTCCGTGCGCAAGCCACTTTTAGGAGAGCAAAAGTTGACCACCCCCCTGGATAGCAAAATTTACTATTTTCAAATTTTTTTATATTTTCCATAATTTAAGAACTCAAGCAATCCATACATATAAAAAATTACATTTAATGAACAGAATTGTAGAATTGAGAGCAATTTCAAAATTGTCTTACTTTTTTTGATACACCCTGTATATCATTGCATTGCTTTACATTGCTCCCTTATTTGTCAATTTTCCAAAATTTCTCTCACAACAATTTGCGGCTAGTTCAAAGCTATGTAGTAATAAATGGGAGGATAGCATTTATTTTTTTATCTATGGTTGGATTTTGAATATTGGTGAAACACTGGTCTTTATGATGTTTCTAATTGTGCTTTAGGCGAAGATGTGTTACTCATTGGTTCTTCATCAGAAAAATCTCAGGAGATTATTTTCCCCACAAACAACCAATCTCTCGGACGATGCGGCGAAAAGAGCAACCACAAGTCATCAATATTTACGAATTGAGAAAAATACCAAAATGATAACTGTCAGCGTGGTAGTTCTAGCACAGTTCTTCATAGCAGTTTTCCCATTGAGTGTGTTAGGAAGAATGGTAGCGCATGGCAGGAAGGAGGCTCAATTTCACGTGATATGGTCGATGCCGTTGTATTTTCTCGTATCTTGTTCATGCAATCCGATCGTCTATGGAATTGGAGATAAAACAATACGTGAAGGATACAAAATGGCTTTGAAGAAACTATGTTGTTGTTAAGGAGATTCAATTCTAGTCAGTGAACTCTCTATATGTCTGGAGCAGTAACTTCAGTCATTCGGGCTATGAAAAAATTGAAGCCAAAATGGCGGCCATTTAAGTCCAATAGCTCTAAAGGTCGTAAACACACCTGTATATAGCGATACGGACCATTACAAAAACTAGAATTAGCAAGTCAAAATGGTATAAAAGTTGTTTACGGCCAATCAAGTTCCAGTTCAAAAATCATAATATTAGTCTTTAAGAGAGGATGTCCACAAAAATCAAACATAAAGCGGCCACGACTGAAAAATCGATTTTTCTCAAATTTTGCCCAGATATACCTTATTATATCGGAAAATGCACCATATATTTTTTTAGGTCAAATGCTTTTTTAACTTTGAGAAAATGCCGTTTTAACACGACCACCCTAAATCGCCACTGATTTTTTCTGGGAAAATATGCTCTGATTTTACAGATAAATTTCACGACGACAACCGTTTCTAATCGATCTAAAACCCTAAAAATCTTGTTTTCGGTTATTCAAAGGACTGTGTACATGACTTACAGGAAATCTGAGTTACTTTTAGGAATAGAAATAATCGAAGTTTTGGAGCACACTATCTTACTTCATTTACGATACCCTCTTAACAAAATCGATTTTCACCATGCGATAAAGCTCCAAATCGATCATGCTTCTACTAGTTGGCTCTTTATTAATAAACGAGCTTTCAATTGACGTAAATACTTCTTTTGGCAAATGAATACGCGATAAACGACAGCGCGTTGAAATCTTCCGTTTTTGACGTCCTGCAAGTCAAACGCTGTTAATTTATACACCGTCGAAGTAAACAATTTAATCAAGTATTCTAAGTATTTTACTTTTCGCTTTGCTAAGTTTAAAAGTGGTCCAGAAATCCCAGTATATTTGTAAAAAAATCATCAAACATCCAGTATTTTGAGACATTGTTGACGGTTGCATGATAACTTCAGATCATTATTCAACGTGATCTACGACCCGGCAGTTTGACTTTTGCGCTAACATATACAAATCGATGAGCTATTTAAGGATTATATTTGCTACTGAATTCCCCAAAAGAATTGGAACTACAACTGCTTTTTCAGAGGTTTTGATCCATTTTGTCCATATTAATGTACCATTTTATTTATCGACTGATGTTTACAAATACGTAAGTTAATTATTAAGCAGCTGTTAGCGTGCGTGTACATGTGAAATGAACGTTTATAATGTTTATCCATATAAGGAGTTTTTATTTTTAGTTTACCGGCCCTTATATTTGAATAGTCGTTTTCTTTCAAGTTGTTTTCTTTTTTATACTCTACAAAGTTGATTCCGAAATGTTAAGGTATCCGAAAAAACTATCGAACTTTTCCATGATATTTACAGAGAAACGTCACAGCTGTAAACCCCCCTCCCCCACCCCCAAAACGAACATATGACGTTTCTTGTGGAAAAATCGATATGTGAGGCTTCCCTAAAACTGCAAGGTTTACACTATTGAATTAAAATCCCGCAGACCACAACGATTATACGTATTGATTGTTTCTTGACGATAGTAGACGCGTACGTGCATGTTGCGGAAGAGGTTATTTCGCTGGCCTCAGAGTGACAAAAGGTGCTCTGGTTCTAGAGGTTTAAAATAATAAACCTCTGTTTGAAAGCGGCAATTAATTCATCGAGCCGCGCCAGTTATGATAAGACAAGGGCGGCGCCAGGGCCGCCCATGCAGGGAGGCGGCAAAGGGAGCAATTTTCTCCGCGACCCCAGCTCAAGGAAGACAGGCAAATACAAATTTGCAAGGCGATAAAAAGTTTGTCGACGGAGGGGGGTAATTGTGGTTCACCGGGGCCCCAAGGGTATAATTGGCCCTGGGGCCCCATATTTCACTGAGCTGGTTTGGGCTGCGCCAGTATTTCTCCGACGGGGGGAGTCATCAGTGCTCTCTTTTGATCTTTGTCAATTGGCATTAAAACCGCAAGAACTACCGACAAGTGACCAGGGCCGGATTAACGTCGCGCGAGGCCCGTGGCAAATTTTAGCGCGAGGCCCCCAAACCTCCCCCTTTCTTCTTTTTATGAAAACCATTGAATTTAAAGACACACAAAAGTGTTAAATAATTTTTTTCAATATTTCAATTTATTTGCATCAATTATAAACGAGATAATGGCCTGCCTGGCGCAGTTGGTGGGTATAAACAGGATCATAATATAACAGCTCAACGCAACTAAAGATTATATGAACACGAGTATTGCATATTGCATTTTCCCGGGGCCGTGCTAGGGCGAACTGCCAAACCTAGGGGCCCTAAATGCGCGAGGTCCCTAAATTCGCGAGGCACCCAAAATGGGTGTATCCAAATAGAAAATGGCCGTGTTCTCGTAAAAGTGGGCGTAGCACAGTAAAGCGCGAGGCCCACGGCATTTGCCGTATTTGACACGTGGTTAATCCGGCGTTAAACGAGCAACAAGCTTTCATTTTCTTTAAACGCGACGTATGGGGAGACAATAATAATTTGTGATGTCGCACTGGGCGAAGATACTCAATGCTGTATTTTTGGGTACTAGTACTTGTGAAATATAATAAGATCAATAGACATTAGTGTATCAAAATAAAGTAATTTTACTGATTATTTTAACTGTGCATCAAAGTAAACACACATTATTCTAAACTACAGTTATGTATTTGCTATATGCCTATAATTTGAGTTTGAGGTGGTAGAATATATAATAAAATAACAAGTCCTTGTGTGGATAAATGTTCATTTCACACGCACGCTATTAACAGCTGCTTAATAATTAACTTATGTATTCGTAAACATTTATACTCGATAGTCGATATGTAAGGGACGGACCATTTGATTTTTCATGGGGGGGGGGCGCATTTTTGAGAGTGCTCGATTTTTTTTTGGACCTCACCGACTCTGCACGATTTTTTTTATCGAATCTTGCCGCGTGCACGATATTTTTTTAAATTTTTACTATAGCGTTAATACAATAATAACCACGTATGGTTATATTCCGAATATATTTGAATATACAGCATATAACCACAAAATAGGAAAGTATAGCAGAAGTGTAACCCACGAAAATTTTAACTCGCTCACGCCATCCTGGCTAGTACAGCCGGAAGTTTTTATCAGGTTTTGATACGTACAAAGTGCCGGTTGTACTAGCCAGGATGGCGTGATTGATGATCGGACGAATCGCTTGTAAAAACGCGGACAAATACTTGCTTGAGTGAGACTTCTGGTATACCTTCCTATTCTATGATATAACTATCACAGCCCATTTTATACTTGGCCAATTTTATACTTGGCCCATTTTATACGGGGCTATGGTCTACGAAATGTAGACCATAGTCCCAATCAAAATTGGATCAAGTGTATTAAAGTGTGTAACCCATTTTGCATTGGCGTAATGGCATCTATATACAAATTCTCACGGTTCCCAATCGTATCAGTGTTCCCAATACGTATTATAAACTGCGATTTTTATTGAGAATCAGAGAGCGATATTAATGAGCCGGGTGGGAAAGGGTATTTTTGTGACCCGTGAATGCAGTGGCGTAGCCAGACTATAATTTTTGGGAGGGCATATATCGAACGCCGAAGGCGTAAGCCTTTTTAGGGGGTCCGGGGGCATTCTCCCCCGGGAAAATTTTGAAATCTGGAGTCCCTCAATGGCGATTTCCCGTGTTTCTGGGGAGAGATTTTGCATAATTCTGAAGATTATTTACTGCAGGAAAGACCTGATTTTTAATGATTTCTCAATAATGTGGATCCTTAATTTGACTCAACGAAGCTTACTTGGTCGCGTGTGAATAGTTAAATCGAAGTTTTAAAACGCATTTTAACCAATAACCACCATAGGCATTATTTTCTGTAGTTAGATTTAGGAAAGATTAGAACTTTTATAGACAATTTGGTGAACAGATGAGATTGGTAGTCACATGGGTAGTCATCGTCCCCCCCCTAATTTCTACCCGGATTTCATCTTTTTACAAGGGCAGTCCATCAGCCTATTTGGGGGGGGGGGCTGAGCCCCTGCGTGAATGGTCAATATTTGATCGTGTGAAATGCTTGATTTTACTGTCATGATCTGTGATTTGTTCTACAACCGTGAGGCGTGATTCTCGATCAAAAAATGCTCCGTGAAATGGGAATTAAGGATGTCTGTTTCGTGAACTGTGATTTTGATTTGTTTATTCCGATCTATTTTATAATAGTGATAATGGACATAATACGCGATAATAATTTATATGATCGATCTCACTCGATTGCACAAGAGTAGAAACTTCGGAGTCCTTTCGGAGATCGTCGGACGTACTCATCACTCAAACTTGTAAGTAGTTTTTAACTGCCAGGCAGAGAAGAGAACTTAAAGCGTAGTACTGTACCATGCATTAAACATAATCTTAAAGCTATTATTATTATATTATTTTTTTAGTCTCGTTATCCGTGAAATGTGAAATTGCTTTTTTATGGCACGTGAATTGTGAAACGGTATTTTTTTGTTGTGAAACGTGAATCATACCCCCCCCCCCTTTCCCACCCTCATTAATCGATGTCGAATTTACAGAAGTGTGGGACTTTCAGTGTTAAGATTGGGGTTTTTAGGGATACCATTAAGGTAATTTGTGGATAATTGAATTATTGAAGTCAAAGTTGTCAGAACTGGTTTGTATCGGTTTGTATTTTGCATGTATACCAAGGCAGAACCGAAACACTCAACAGAAAAAAACTAAGGGAAACTGAATTTTTCTTTCAATATAGAGTATTGCTAATTTAGAATTTTTTTGTGCTCGATATTTTTTTTTGCTGGTGTTAGTGATGTTCGATTTTTTTTCTTCCATTCGAGACATGCTCGATATTTTTTTTCGGATTTGCGCCGCCCCCCCCCCCCATGAAAAATCAAATGGTCCGTCCCTAAATACTAAATGGTACATTATATGGCATGGATCAATGCAAACTGGAACAAAACAACAATTGTCAATTCAAGTTCTAATTTTGGGAAATTTTGTAACAAATATAAAATCACTAAACAGCTCATCGATATGTATGTTTGCGCTATTAAAAGTAGACATTATTGAACAATGATCTGAAGTTGTCATGCAACTGACAACAATATTATATTTCAAAATACCTGTATATGATGATATTTTAGAAATATCTCGGGATTTTTGGACCAATTTTAAACTAAGCAAGGTAAAAAGTCTTCATTCAAGAATATATCTTCTTCTCAAAAGGTAAAATACTTAAAATACTTGATTAAATTGTTTACTTCGACGGTATATAAATTAACAGCGTTTGACTTGCAAGACGTCAAAAACGGACGATTTCAACGCGCTGTCGTTTATCGCGTATTCATTTGCCAAAAGAAGTATTTACGTCAATTGAAAGCTCGTTTATTAATAAAGAGCCAACTAGTAGAAGCATGATCGATTTGGAGCTTTATCGCATGGTGAAAATCGATTTTGTTAAGAGGGTATCGTAAATGAAGTAAGATAGTGTGCTCCAAAACTTCGATTATTTCTATTCCTAAAAGTAACTCAGATTTCCTGTAAGTCATGTACACAGTCCTTTGAATAACCGAAAACAAGATTTTTAGGGTTTTAAATCGATTAGAAACGGTTGTCGTCGTGAAATTTATCTGTAAAATTAGAGCATATTTTCCCAGAAAAAATGGCGATTTAGGGTGGTCGTATTAAAACGGCATTTTCTCAAAGTTAAAAAAGCATTTGACCTAAAAAAATATATGGTGCATTTTCCGATATAATAAGGTATATCTGGGCAAAATTTGAGCAAAATCGATTTTTCAGTCGTGGCCGCGAAATGTCTCATATGTTCGATTTTTACTGACATTCACTCTTAAATCAAAGTGCAGATGCAAAATTTCGGCAAAATCCTTGCCAAGATGGCGGAAATTGAACACCTATATTATATCAGATCCAGTCTCGTTCTATTATTTCTGTCTGCCCGGTTGACTCCAGTTCTCGCTGCAGATATAAATAGAACTCGCTGATTCTGGTGTGCAGTATTGTATACATTCCGTAATGATTCTGATATGTTGACAGCTTATTAACATTTTTTGCCTAATTTTAATTTTGAATTCTCAGAAAACTTAAAAAGCATGAAAATGTTTTTAAAATTAGGACTTTATCTCCCTCTTTTTGCCAGACACGCTACATCATAAAATTTTTCAAGAACTAAAGAACTATTTGCCATATCAATATTAGATATATTTACAGTATATTCAGGGACAGACTATTTGTGAAGTAACTAAAAAGATAATGTACCAGGAATTCCAGTGTATTGTGGGGATGCTCATCATTGAATTTCTTACAAGAACAGTGTGTTAACTTCTTGTTCCGTACAGGACAAAAAATGAATAATTTATGCATTATTAATTCAAATCGCAGTTAATTGTTAGTGGCTAAATGAAACATTGATGACTTCAACCACAGTGATGAAGGGGAATTTGGATAACGTTTCACATGAAGATAAAAAAACACGCTGTTATCTGTAGATTGTGTCCATATTTAGAATTTAATGCCTTCCTTTACTCATTAGCTTATTTTTACGTTATCGAAACTAATCACTTCACCAGTGGCGTAACGGAGGAAGAGGCCTGGGGCCCTTACATATATTTGATGTGGGGCCTCTGTCAACCGTCGTCATTGTTTGACTGCGATGTTATATTTATATTGAATATTTGGTAATGGTTTATTGACAAATTTAGTAACAGTTACGCTAATTTACAATGTTGTTTCGCTCGCTACTCTGGTTTAAATAAATGATAACAAAGCCCAGTCGAATTGTAATCAAGACCCAACGTTTCGACACTCCAGTCTAGTGTCTTCATCAGAGGTGATCTAAAACTGCGATTGTGGCTTATTAAATACCCCAAGGGATGACGTCACCTGCCAAGAAGATGCATATATTCCTGTGGCAAATAGGCGCCGTCATCCCTATTCAAAGCATGATGACTCATATTTATATGCCACGCTTCTAGGCAAAGTCTTTGAAAATAGCGATTGTTTGTGGTAATTACTTTAGAGTTTTCCCACGCTATCTCGTGTTTGGTGTAACATACATGTTCGGCTAAAGCTGATTTTCCCTTGTCTAAAGTTAAAACAGCATTTTGATGTTCTTTTAGCCGTGTACCAAACTGGCGTTTAGACTGATACAGGGTACACGGCTAAATAGGGAATACGGATAGGGACGACGGCGCCTATTTGCCACAGGAATATATGCATCTTCTTGGCAGGTGACGTCATCCCTTGGGGTATTTAAGAAGCCACGATCGCAGTTTTAGATCACCCCTGATGAAGACACTAGACTGGAGTGTCGAAACGTTGGGTCTTGATTACAATTCGACTGGGCTTTGTAATCATTTATTTAAACCAGAGTATAGCGAGCGAAACATGATTGATATACCTGCATAGTTGCAGTGAACGAACAAACTTTATAAATTTACAATGTGTTTACAATATAAGGATATAAAGCGTATATATTCCATTTATTTACACAATTCATTAAATATAAAGCCTTACTAATCTCTTACATCTATTTACGTTATTGATCAAATGTATAAAAACTACTAATGCATACCTATTTGACATTATTATTTGATACCTATTTGATCGTTTGACGTCAAGTCTTTATTCATCAACATTCTTCTTAACAAAACGATTAACATCATCTTACATAAGGTTTGGAACGAGAAAAAGATTACGACTAAAGTTAAGAAACGCACACTGAAAAACACTTATATGACGCTTAAACCAAAACTCCATTTTTTGCGAACGGAGAACTTTAATTACCATGGCGGCGTTAATTACCATGGGTTCACCTCTAAGTCCAACTCTAGTTAATATTATAATGATAAAGCTTTAGAAGATGCAATTATAAAAGACCTTCTAGATAATAATGTCATAAAGTCTTACATTAGATATATTGATGACACACTATAGTTCTAGCGAAACCTTCTGACATTGATTTTATCTTAAACAAGTTAAATAGCTACCATCCAGATATTCAATTCACACGTACATGAAGAATTCACATCAGACGGTACCACAATTTTTCGTAAAAACACTCACACATGCCAGTGTATACATTTTTCTGGTTTTACTCCTTGGTCTTACAAAATTGCATGGGTCAGGTGACTTGTGAGCAGAGCTCACAAAGTTTGTAGCGACAGTTCTTTACTTTCAGCAGAGATAGACATCCTCAAATTCATGTCTTGGAACGGGTTTTCAAAACGCATTTATACTAAACTTATAAAGCAATGGTGAACCCAAACTCTGACCAAACTCATGAGACTAACCCTAACAACAATTACAACAAACAACTCCTAAGATTTTCATATACGAAACATCAGAATTGAAATGTTACGACTTTTAGACACTCCATGCAACGTAATGATTTACTGGGACACAATGTGACAACAAACTGCTTTAAATTGTTTCGTGTAAGGACAAAACACCTAGAAGGACTTTCAGAGTTCTATTCGGTTTACAAATTCTCCTGTCCAGGCTGCTCTAAATCTTACAATGGAAAGACCGACAGATGAATTCACTAATCACACAAGACCCTTTGAACATGCAATAACTGACAAATCTGAGATTTACAAGCACATCAACGCTTGCGAACACTTCACCTACATCACCAACCTACTGAAACTTGGCATCGATGATTCTGACACAAACGAACTGTTTGACGGAACACTATTCCTTCTCCACAACTCCATCATCCTGGACAAGGCAAATAATTGGTCAGTGTTATTATTCAAGGAAGCACTGGCCATTCACAGGCAGAAACCGGAAGTGAACAATATCATCAAAGCGTCCCGAGAACTATTGGTTTTCTACCAACGTGCAGATATTAAATTACAAACTTTCCGTATATATTTATTGGCATTACTATGTAAGTTTATCCATTCCTAATGATTGCTAAATAAAGTAGAAACGTTGAATAAAAAATGTTGTCTTTTATTCGAAGTTACCGTTGTTGTGTATACCTATTTTCATATTATCTAACTAATAAAATATTAAAAAGAGACATTCTAATCAACCAATAGAATTATACAAGTATATAGAGTAAACCAAAGGACTATGTTTACAACCTTGTTATAACCTTTGACTATTAGCTCTTGTTTCCTTTTGCCTAATGCATTCTAGTTTCTTTGGTGAGAGGCTATGAAGTTTATGATTTGGTTCCAGCATTTCTTTAATCATAAAGTTATACATAATTCGCCCCTACGTTCCTCCAAAACTGATTTGTAACTTTGTATCAGATATTGCTTGGTCGTAGTCTTGCTTTATTTGGGTAAATTATTCTAAGCACTCGTTTTTGAATTCGTTCAGTGCTCTTTTTTTGTTTTTGGGTTAGGCCTGCGTTCCAAATCTCTGCACCATATTCTAGAATAGAACGAATTCGTGAACGGTAAAATGCAACAAATTATCCATGGGCCGGGCACTATAACTCTTTAAGATCTTTAATAAATACAGATATAATAAATACATTCCGTATTAGTTTTCCATTTAAGATTAAAAGTATTTAAGAGGAACTACATTGCTAGCATAATTTTGCTGAGTTTTCAACTATACACATAAATGTCTTGCCACCCCCGGTTCATCCTGTTCCTGCTAAACGGATGTTAATTTACTCCAACTCTTCAACTCATAGCATTCAATTCTGTTACGAATTTATCTTATGTATGATACTTCTCGTATAATCAATACAATACCATAAGCAAAAAATATGTTTTGACCCTTCATTTGCAAGAACGTATTTTACGTTGCGTCATTCAGTATCCTTCACGGATTGTTTTGTCTCCAATTCCATAGACGATGGGATTGAATGAGCAAGATACAAGAAAATATACCGGCATCATCCGCATCAGATGAAACTGATATTCATCACCACCGAATGCACTGTTAAATCTTTCCAGCACACATACTGGTGCAACTGCAGTGAAGAACTGTGCTAGAACCACCATACTGACAGTTATCATTTTTGTATTTTTTTCAATGCGCAAATGTTGATGACTTCTGGTTACTCTTTCTGTTGCATCGTCTGAGAGATTTGTTGTTTCTGGGGAAAATAATCTCCTGAGGTTTTTCTGATGAAGAGCCAATGAGTAACACATCTTTACATAAAGCACAATAAGAAACATCATAGAGACTAATATAATAGCAATATTTACAATCCAACCATATATAGAAAAATATATGTTATCTTCCCATTTGTTGGTACATAGCCCTGCACTAGTAAACTGTTGGGAGAGAAATGTTGGGATATTGACAATTAAAGGAACCATGTAAAGCAATGCAATGACATATTGCAGCTTTTTGCCGCTTAATCTTGGTTGAAGTGGCTGTGTAACAGCTCTGTGACGAAGAATTGCTATAACGACTAAAATCATCAGTTCTGTTGTAAAAAGACAGCCGACCAGCGGCAAAATTATGACGCATGATACATTTCCCAGGTTATTGAACCAATATTGATTTTCCATCCAAAGTCCTACTGTGAACAAGAGATTTCCTGTCAATAGTAAAAGTATATCGCATATAGCAAGATGAAATACAAGACGATAGTAGTTCGCTTGAAAACGACGCTGCCCACTGTAAACCGTCAAGATGACAAGAATATTTCCACACAAGCCAAGCACTTCAATGATTACATAGCAGATTGGAACGATCAAAATGTTTGAAAAATGTATTTCAAATGTTCCGTTCATCTTAGGATTAGCTTGTTGTTGAAGCACCGACAGGCTGTTCTACTTTGTAAATGACTTCGCGTTTTTCTAATATTAATATAGCGTTTCACAAATAATATGTTCCGCAGAGATATTAAAATTGGATTCCGACAATTGATCAATATTGACTCTTCAGTGCAACTTTTAATTTTGTAAGAAGATGCAAATACAGATGGAAAGCAAGATTATACTTGCACCAACATGAGTAAAGGCCTTTTTCATAACTATCGTAGCATTTTCTTTTGACAGTTTGTGTCGAAGTCATTTGTTCCACTCTAGTGCTCAGGAAACAAAGCAATACCCTACGGTACGACACGGTTGATGTGCAACTTTAATTAATGCATTAGAAATGTCAATTTTCTTTAATCTAAAATAGAAAAACGGTTGATTTGAATATCTGGGGCCGGTTGTATAAAACTCTTCATCACTTTCTTAATCACTATTTTGTAGTTAAATAGTGATTAACTCTCAAATAGGCACTTCTTATTGGATGACTTTTCCACTAACTATATAGTTAACTAATTTAATCACTTTTTCATACAACCATCCCCTGATGTTTTTTGTAAGCTGGAATGAATAAAGGAATCATGTTTATCTGACATTCTCAGATATTCATTATTCGAAACACTTTGCGATTTGCACGGCTTCGCTGCAGAGAAGAGCGAAACAGAAAACGCTAATTGCCGTTTGAAACGAAACGATCTGGACTCTGAACGCTCTCTTCTTTTGTCGAGTTCCTTACCAAATGAAATAACTGAAATAAATTTCGTACTTTCCGCCGCCAACAAGAATTGCACACACGATCTGATAAGTGAAACAATTTATTTATAACAATGGCGACAGAATTAAGCACACATTAATGCTAATGTAATCGCACGACTTCCCTCACGATTTAAAGTTTGAGACAGGTTTTGTGTTGAAATTTGTCCTAAATTGCCTGTTCCGATTTTAGTTGAAAATGAGCGCTTGCAAATTTGGCAATTACTCACTGCGTTGCTTTCTTTTTTGGAGTTAAAACGGCGCAGCCATTTTAATAGACATTGTTTCTATTCTGAATAAGCAGAGAAAACTCCGGCAACATTTTAATGCGAGTTTGTTTGTCACTATTTGGGTTGCTGTCATTGGTTCTTTTTTGACAATTGACGCGCGAATGTGGTGTGTTATGAAAAAAGGCGTTTTTCAAAACATCTGGTCTTCCTTGCAGGCCCACCATTCTTGCCTCGGTTGGCCTGTACGCGGTATAAGAAGTGATAGCTGATAGGCGCTTGCTCTGACGAACACGCCAGCGAAGTCTGTACAGTTCTTTACTGTACTTAATATTAAAACAATAGATTAAAACAATTTTTTACATTTTTTTCCTGCTCAATCAATTAGTTTCATTCACTTCAATATATTTACATAAATTCAATATATGAAGTAGGAAATGAGACTATAGTGCCATGCAGGCTTTCATAACATTTTCTTGTCAACATGTACACGACGCAAATTTTAAACGCCACTGCAATTTTAATATGGAAAACACTGACATAACATTTCTGTTAATTAAAGCTAAATTAAAATATCTGCAAGGACTTGGTTTAATCCGCCGACTTCAACATCATCTTCTTCCACAGAACATTAAAGCTGAAGTATAATATCATTTTTTAGAGAAGATCAAGTCTTGCGCCATGGACAATTGCCAGAAATATTAAAATGAACAGAACATAGAAAACCTTTAACGACATGAAATCCTTTGAAACAGACAAAAAATTTCAAACACATTGACCGTTTCAATATGCTCAAATTCATATGAACACACCCTGTAAGTGACACCACAACTTGTCAGATAAACATGATTGCTTTATTTATTTTTTATATGAAAATTTCTTGGTTGAAGCAAGGAAAGAGTTTGTGATTTTGTACGACAATGTTACTGAAAAAATTGAAAATAGTAGGATTTTAATGTTTTAGATAACTACGTATTAGGCGTTTAGGAACAATAAAAGACAATGTTGAAAGAGAAATATATAGACATTGATGCGTTCCAAAAGCACATATTTATTTTATATTTATTTTATATATATATATATATATATATATATATATATATATATATATATTATATATATATATATATATATATATATATATATATATATATATATATATATATATATATATATATATATAAAATAAAATAGGTCAATTTATCTGAAGAGTGCCACATACTGTGGTACGAAACTATTTAGTAATAAAGATGCCTAGTGGATTTTGTTGATTTGTTGTACCTTAATTTATATATATATATATATATATATATATATATATATATATATATAGCTTAAGATTTTGGTTTACGAAACACAAACAGTGCTCAATACCATATAGATAGAGCCGTATAGGATGAAACAGACTGTTGTGGTTCTTTCAGGTAAAACGAAAAACTATATATATATATATATATATATA